AGGAGAGGGAGCCACAAACAGCAGAACACCAATACCCACAGGGAAAATTTCGCAGGCTCCAAAGCCCACTATGATAGCCAAAATGGTGAAATAAAGAAACAAAAGCCAAATGAAAAAAACAAGAGATCTCTACTGAAGATAAGATAAATGTGGAGCAGTTAAGCAAGTTAACAGAGCTAGAATTCAGAGCCATGATCTTGAGGGAGCTCAACATCATGAGTAAGGACATAGAAATGTAGGAATGTATCCTCACACCCCACCCATGGTGTCCTCTTAGGGTAAACATGTGTCACCCCCATATGAATAAGGACTTCCCTCATCTCTCCAGTCAATTTTGTGCTCCCTTTTCTAGGTCTACACAGGACCTTCTCTGAACTTCTATTGCAGTAGGTAGTGATTAACATAATTAATCGATGGCATGATTCTATCCCCATTAGACTCAGAATCAGAATCTTTGGCTATTTAATTGGTATTTCACAGGCAGCACACGATTAGAATGGATAAAAGGGAGAATCCAGGTCCTATAGGTGCCTCTCCCACTCCCAAACTGCTAGGTGTTAACAACTCAGGTGCTGAATCCCTGGGAGGCGAAGGGATGGCAGAGAGAGGGGCCTGGCAACTGAGATGGAGGGACTGGGGGAGAGCTCAGGACAGTATGTATCTCCCAACCAGTAGAGAGGGGTTTCAGTGTTTTAACAACTGGCATGGCCATTATATCTCGATCTCAACAGCTCAATATCCATTTTCTTTATATCCCTAGGGACTGACAGCACCATGCCTGGGAGTAGATATTTAACAAATATTTACTGAAAAAACAAGACATATTTTAAATTACAACTGGAATCATCAACTATTTTCCCAACAAGGAGGAGAAAGCTGAAATTTGGCTTCTGTAGTGACTGTCCATAGTCATTGCCATCTCTGCATTTATTTCCCGCTTCATTTTAAAAAGATTGGCTAATGGGTAGGCACGAGCTCCAAGCTGGTCCAATAAGACTAAATCCTGAGAGAGGAAGAGATGGCCCTTGCCCAGAGCCACATAACTTGGTCTCTGATACCCCTGAATTCATTCTCAAGAGCCCTCCAAGAGGACTTCCGGTCAAGATGGTGGCGTAGGTAAACTTGGTATCATGTCCTCCCACAACCACATCAAAATTACAGCTGAACTACAGAACAACCATCATTCAAAACTGCCCGAAATCAAGCTGAATGGAAGTCCTACAACTACGGAATTAAAGAAGCAGCTGTGCCCTGGCCAGTTTGGCTCAGCGGTTGAGCATTGACCTGCGGACCAGAGAGTCCCGGGTTCAGTTCCTGCTAGGGGCACGTACCACAAAAAGAAAAAAAATAAAGAAGCAGCTGCATCAAGACTGGTAGGAGGGGCAGAGGCGGACGGGCTGGTCCCACAACCACGTGTGGTGGATAAAAATCAGGACACCTCGGCTGGGAAGGACCTCCCTGAGGACTGAGGGGGTCCTCGTCCTATACCAGGCGCCCCGCTCAGGGTTCCAGTGCTAGGAAGAGAAGTCCCCATCACTTCTGGCTAGAAAAACCAGAGGGAACTGAGGCTCAGGGAGGCTGAGGTGGCTGGAGCCCCAGGCAGCTCCTCTTAAAGGGCCCGCGCACGGACTTATCGGACTCACTCCCTCTAAGCTTGGAGGGGAGGTAGCTCGAGGGTGCCAGAGACACACAGGGAAGAACTGAACTGTTTGGCACTGGAGTGAGGGCTGGAGAGGGGGCTTTCTCCAGGACAGACGTGCTGTCAGAGGCCTTTGTTCCTTTGGTGAGTCCTTCCCTGGGTCGGCAGACAGCTGCCATATCTGGTGACTCCCTGAGGCCCTGCCCCACCCAACTTTCAGGCCCACCCAAGCTGTTGCCATTTGTTTTACCATAGGATTGGCCTGTCTTAGATGCTGCTTCAGGTTTTCCTAAATTTTTTCAAACAAACAGCATCTGGTCTCAGCTAGCCCCATACCTCTTGTTAAGTGATACACAGAAACAAACACAGGGAGGCAGCCAAAATGAGGAGACAAAGAAACAGGTCCCAAATGAAAGAACAGAACAAAACCCCAAGAAAAGAACTAAGCGAAATGGAGATGAGCAACCTAACAGATGCTGAGTTCAAAATACTGCTTATAAGGATGCTCAATGAACTTACTGAGGGCCTCAAGAGCATAAAAAGAACCAGTCAGAAATGAAGGAGGCACTAACTGAAATAAAGAATAATTTACACAGATTCAATAGTAGAGTAGGTAAAGCCAAGAAGCAAACCATCGATTTGGAATCTAAGGAAGCAAAAAACACCCAATCAGAACAGCAAAAAGAAAAAAGAATAAAAAAAAGGGGGGGGGTAAGGAGCCTCTGGGACAACTTCAAGTGTGCCAACATTCGCATCTTGGGGGTGCCAGAAGGAGAAGAAAGAGACAAGAAATAAAAAACCTGGGACTTCCGGTCAAGATGGCGGCGTAGGTAAACGTGGTATAGTGTCCTCCCACAACCACATCAGTTACAACTACAGAACAACCATCATTCAAAACCGCCTGAAATCAAGTTGAATGGAAGTCCTACAACTAAGGAATTAAAGCAGCAGCCACATCCAGACTGGTAGGAGGGGCGGAGGCAGATGGGCTGGTCCCACACCCACCTGTGGCGGATAAAAATCAGGAGGACACCTCGGGTGGGAAGGTCCTCCCTGAGGATTGAGGGGTCCCTGTCCCACACCAGGTGCCCCACTCAGGGTTCCAGTGCCAGGAAGAGAAGTCCCCATCACTTCTGGCTGGAAAAACAAGCAGGAACTGAGGCTCAGGGAAGCTGACGCGGCTGGAGCCCCAGGCAGCTCCTTAAAGGGCCCGCGCACGGACTTATCGGACTCTCTCCCTCTAAGCTTGGAGGGGAGGCAGCTCGAGGGGTGCCAGAGACACAGGGAAGAACTGAGCTGTTTGGCACTGGAGCAAGGGCTGGAGAGGGGGCTTTCTTCAGGACAAATGTGCTGTCAGAGGCCTTTGTTCCTTTGGTGAGCCCTTCCCGGGGGCGGCAGACAGTCGCCATATCTGGGACTCCAGCAACCTGGCTCACACTGGTAGCCCCGCCCTGCTGACTCCCTGAGGCCCCACCCCGCCCCACCCAACTTTCAGGCCCACCCAAGCTGTTGCCACTTGCTTAACCATAGGATTGGCCTGTCTTAGATGCTGCTTCAGGTTTTTCCTAAATTCGTTCAAAGAAGCAGCATCTGGTCTCAGCTAGCCCCATACCGCTCATTAAGTAATACACAGAAACAAACACAGGGAGGCAGCCAAAATGAGGAGACAAAGAAACAGGTCCCAAATGAAAGAACAGAACAAAACCCCAAGAAAAGAACTAAGCGAAATGGAGATGAGCAACCTAACAGATGCTGAGTTCAAAATACTGCTTATAAGGATGCTCAATGAACTTACTGAGGGCCTCAAGAGCATAAAAAAGGACCAGTCAGAAATTATGGATGCACAGTCAGAATTGAAGGAGGCATTAACTGAAATAAAGAATAATTTACACAGCTTCAATAGTAAAGTACGTACAGCCAAGAAGCAAACCATCAATTTGGAATATAAGGAAACAAAAACCACCCAATCAGAACAGGAAAAAAAAAAAAAAAGAATCCAGAAAAATGAGGATAGTGTAAGGAGCCTCTGGGACAACTTCAAGCGTGCCAACATTCGCATCTTGGGGGTGCCAGAAGGAGAAGAGCAAGAACAAGAAATTGAAAACCTGTTTGAAATAATAATGGCAGAAAACTTTCCTAACTTGGTGAAGGAAACAGACATAGAAGTCCAGGAAGCATGAGAGTCCCAAACAAGATGAACCCCAAGAGGCCCACACCAAGACACATCATCATCAAAATGCAAAAGGTTCAAGACAAAGGGAGAATCTTAAAAGCAGCAAGAGAAAAACAGTTAATTACCTACAAGGGAGTTACCATAAGACTGTCAGCTGATTTCTCAAAAGAAACTTTGCAGGCCAGAAGGGAGTGGCAAGAAATATTCAGAGTGATGAAAAGCAAGAACCTTCAACCAAGCTTACTCTATCCTGCAAAGCTGTCATTTAGAATCGATGGTCATATAAAGAGTTTCCTAGACGAGAAAAAATTAAAGGAGTTCATCACCACCAAACCGTTATTATATGAAATGTTGAAGGGTCTTTTTGAAGGAAAAGATAAAATATATAAACAAACAAAATGGCAATGAATACATATCTATTGACCATGGAATCTACAAACAAAATGAACAGGCAGAACAGAAACATTCCCATAGATACAGAGAACATTTTGTTGGTTGCCAGATGGGAGGGGGTTGAGGGAATGGATGAAAAAGGTGAAGGGATTAAGAAGTACAAATTGGTTGCTAGACTGACAAACCTCAAAGGGAAGGGGTTGCGGGGCGGGAAGAGATAAACCAAAGAACTTATATGCATAACCAATGGACATGGATAACTGTGGGAACAGGCAGGAAGGGGGCGGGAGTGGGGAGGAGAGGGTCAATGGGGGAAAAATGAGAAACATCTGGAATACATTCAATAAAGATTAAAAAAAAAAAAAAAAGACTCAATCCTGAGACTCTTACTTGAATACCTCAAACTCCTTCAGCCCCTCAACCATTCATGTGGCCAGTTGTATTTGGAGCTTCTAGCACCTGTCTTGCCCCGAAAGAAAGGAGCATGCTGAGAAAGGAGCCACAGAAACAGAATCATGGGGGTTCAGCTTCCTGCAGCCTGATTTAAACCCCAGACCCAGCCGTGCCTGAAGAGTCACCTGGCACCTCTCAGTCAAGTGACCAAATTAATTTCCTTTCTTGCTTATAGTATTTTGACCATTTTGTTTTGTTTTCCTTTTCCAATTATAAATCTGGTCTAACTCATCTAGAAAGATAACCTTCTGTTAGGAAAAATACAAATCTAAGTTTTATATATGAGTATCTCTTAATTTTTCTCATCCCATGACATGTTGGTAGCTCATTTCAGTAACTCACCTTTCACCAAGTAGAACATTTGATAGATTTACAAATGAGGGGAAATCCAGTGTGTTCATGACAGGATAGGCATGGATGGGAATAAGCAAAGTGTCATCACCCTAAAATTAATGGGAAAAAAGTCAAGTGTACCACAATGAAGTCCAGAATTTTTAAAGATGAACTTGCAGATACTTAATTTGTTTTGTTTTCTATCATTAAAAAATATTTTTAGCATAGAATATTTTTTAAGAAACCTGAGTGTTTAAATACATTTAAAATATTTACTTTTCTTAGCTATAAACAAAGTGTAAACAATTTTAAATATATTGCATTGAAATGATATTCATGAGTATGCAGGAAGTTAAAGCTGATGATGTCTCACATGGATATGAAGATGGTAGTCTGTTTCTGTTTTGGAACGTTACAGGGAAGCACAGTTTTTGGTGGCCTGAGAGGAAGACAAAGAACCAGCTACTCTAGAGCTGGGGAGTAAGCAGAGAATCGGAGGCTGCAGAGACCTGATTCTAGTCCTGCAAAATGTAGGACCTTAAGCATGACCTCTAACCTCTCCAGGCTTTGCTTCTTCCTTTGCAAAATGGGGATATTCTGCCTTCCCTTAAAGGTGTCTTGAGAGTTAAAGTAGCTGATGGCCTTCACGAGTTAAAAGCACCGCACAAAGTATTATTAGCATCACTGTTAAGAGCAGGAATCAGCACGAGGGCACTCTCTGCAGGGCCTGGCCTCGGGCTTTGTGTTCTTGGTACAGAATATTCCTCCAGAAAACAACATTCTAGTTTTGGTTTTAGGTGTTTGGTTTTTTTTTCTTTTTAAAAATTGAAATTCATTTGTTACTAAAGCATACTCTTCCATTTTAGTTTTGAAAAATTAAATTTAGTTAACCTTAAGGCTTCTCAACTTACAAGAGTTGGGGCTGGAATACAGAGCCAAGGGGAGTGTGGAAGTGACTGTTTTAAGAGAAGGATGGATAGCAGGGGAGCTGGCTCTGGCTGGAGGCCGAAGGATGACTCAGGTGACACAGAAGAGGCTCATGGGAAGTCACACAGCACAGCCAGCCCTCTGGGGTCAGGCCACACAGGCTCCCACATACCTGCAGACCCCCAGGGTTGCCTCTGAGGACATCCTCACGCAAGATACAACCCGGTCCCCAGAGTTTATAAGCACAACTCAGGGTTCCTGCTACTTGTGAAATCTAGCACTTAAATTGTGTGGTTAAGTTATTTGAAAAAGCCTTCATTTACTCCCAGCACCACATGGTAAGTGAGGTTTCCAGGCCAGGGCAGGGGGACACTTGCAGAGAACCGTGTCTCGTGGCTCTGCCCAGTTCTCAGCAGCCTCTCGTTCCACCTGGGACCCACTGCACACGGACCCTCCTGCCACTCAGACTGTGTCTCGTGGCTCTGCCCAGTTCTCAGCAGCCTCTCGTTCCCGCCTGGGACCCACTGCACACGGACCCTCCTGCCACTCAGACTGTGTCTCGTGGCTCTGCCCAGTTCTCAGCAGCCTGTCGTTCCCGCCTGGGACCCACTGCACACGGACCCTCCTGCCACTCAGACCGTGTCTCGTGGCTCTGTCCAGTTCTCAGCAGCCTCTCTTTCCACCTGGGACCCACTGCACACGGACCCTCCTGCCACTCAGACCGTGTCTCGTGGCTCTGCCCAGTTCTCAGCAGCCTCTCGTTCCCGCCTGGGACCCACTGCACACGGACCCTCCTGCCACTCAGACAGGCTGAACAAGGAACACCAGGTGTCGGGCCAAGAAACCTCAGACTGGTCATTCCATCTCTCTTCTTCCCTTGAGGATATTAGTTTTCATACCACCCATCCTCATAAACCCAATTTTAAGAAACTTACTTTACAGTGAACACGAATGCAATCATAATAGTATCGCCATTCATCTGGAGAAAATGTCACGGTGACCTTGAGGGACAAGCCAGGGACCAGGTGGTGTTCCTAGAAAAAAATGGGCTCTTGTTGGGACAAGGCCCAGAGCACTCAGAGAGCAGGACTCTGGTAACACACTACACACCGTGCCACGGTGACCTGTGACACGGAAACCCACAGTCCAACAAAGAACACCGCGGGAGAAAGGGCGACCCGACGGCACTTACCTTTTTCACATACTTGATCTGAAAGTATTTGGTTTGTGGGGGTAAAATATAAACATGTATGTCCTCATTGGAAATATTGACCAGATGCTGGGAGAAAAGAAGAATAAAGACACTGTTTTATCTATTTGCGTATTCATTTCATCATTTATTTATCCCTCATCTTACTCCTAAAGGGATTCGAGAACATACAATGTATTTTTAAATTTTTAAAAAGATTCTAAATCCATCATATGCCATTTAAAGAATAATAAAACAGCCTTGGCCGGTTTGGCTCAGCGGTTGGAGTGTCGGCCTGCAGACCGGAGAGTCCCGGGTTTGGTTCCCGCTAGGGGCACATACCAAAAAATAATAAAAAAAATAATAAAACAAACACAATAAACACCATTTAATGAATAATAAAATACGCCCCTGTGCCTTCTACCAGCTGAAGGACTTGGCCAGAGACTGTACGCTTTCTCCCCAGGGTCGCTCAGGCACAAATCCTCCTTCCCAATCCTGACAGGTTACAGTGCATCTCTTCTCGTTGAACTCATTTCGCCCTGTGACTCGACTGAGCTAAGAAGCCAGCCACCCACCAACTCTCACAGTTTCTCTAATTACCCCAACACACGTAGGTAGCCAAAATTTCAGAAAAAGGAGTGTGGCTAGGGTAGCCTCCAATCCATCCCTGGGCAAATGGAAAGGAACGCAGGTCAGGAGTTCTCTGGTGGTGATAGGAGGCCAGCCCTGGGAAGGACAGCATGCTGGGTAAATTAACCGGGTCTCTGAGTAGAGGTGTTTTTCCTTCCTCTGCTTGAAAGAGGAGCAAGAACTTTGGTTTCTGGGGATTTGGGCCTCACCTGAGCCAAGGGACAGTTTAGAGGCCTTTGGTTTCGGAGTCTAGTCAGAGGCTGGGCCTGTCACTGAGCCCACTGCCCAAGGCCTCACGTTTATCAAAGCCCTAAATTCGACTTCAGACATTGCTTCTTTGTGAAGTTACACTGGTGTTTGCATTTGTTGAAAGTTCTCATTTGTCACCTGTGAACATTCTCTAAGTACCACAGTTTTTGTGACCCTGTTTTGGCATATTTTCTCAATATGTCAAAAGCCTAATTAAAAAAAAAAAGTTGCCAAGACCTCTCTCTCTCTCTCTTTTGTTTTGTTGAAATCCTCACCGGAGGATATTTTTCCATTTATCTCATACAGAGTGTGTGTGTGTGTGTGTGGGGGGGGGGGGGGTGGAGAGAGAAACATCGATTAGTTGCCTCCTGCATTACCCGACCAGGGCCCATGACCAAACCACAACCAAGGTAGGTGCCCTTGACCAGAATTGAACTTGCTGCGACTCTTTGGTCCACAGGCCGACACTCTAACCGCTGAGCCAAACTGGCCAGGGCCATGACATCTCTTGACCTTCAGGGGGCCCTGCAGAGGGGCAGTCTTGGTGAAGGTTGGGCTTCTGTGAGACCAGTCCTACCAGGAGAAACAGAAGTGACAGGTATGCTGGGCCCCAAGATGCCTGGAGCCAGTGCCTGGGGTGCGGCACCTGCCCGGAGTTGGAGAGGCAGCCATTCGGCTCCACGTTCTGGAGGTCTCCACAAAGAGCTCTGTCCCCATACGTGCCACAGAGGAGGCCTGTGAAGGCCTCAGATGGAGTCCAGGAAGAACTGGGAGCAGAAGTGTTTATATTGTCTGTCACGGGCTTTAAAATAAGTCAGTAAGGACAGTGCGGCAAACAAGGGTGTGAGAGCTGGTGTTAAGGTGCATTCCTGGGTGGTTAGGCTCGGAGGAATAGTGACCCGCACTCCGGGAGTGCTCAGCACGCACTGGAAGTCCTCCGGCAGGGTTCGCGCTCCGCTGGCGGCCACCAGAGGGCTCAGCTGTGCTCCCCGGACTGACACTTACAGGGTACTAGCGAGGGATGCGCGGGGCACATGTATAGAAATACCATGAGGGCATTTCTGCTCTTGAACAAAAAGGCTGTGAGAATCTGGTGAGCCCAGAGCCCAGTATCCTTTAGAATGACCTTCAAAGGCCCCAGAACCCCCTTAGGTCCCTCAGCCAATTGGAAAGTTGGCCAGTCCTACCGAGAGGATGGCTGTCTGTGAGACTGGGTGGGTCAGGTGTCCCATAGTCCCCAGTGCTCCCAAGGCAGAGAGGAGCTGGAGCTCAGACACTAAAGGTCCAGCCAGGCCTGCGGGTGAGGGGCTGAGCCCGATTTCAATTTTAAAACTTGCCCTGGCCGGTTCGCTTAGTGGTTAGAGCATCCGCCCATGGACCAGAGCCTCAAGTTCGATTCTGCTCAAGAGCACGTACCTCGAATGCATTTGGTCCTTGGCCCTGGATGGGGTTGTGTGAGAGGCAACCAGCCAATGTGTCTCTCTCACATCGATGTTTCTCTATCTTTCTCCCTCCCTCCCTCCCACTCTATCTGAAGATAAATGGAAAAATATCCTCGGATGAGGATTAAATAAATAAATAAATAAATAAAAGGAAAGAACCTGGATGTGGGCCTGACCAGTGTGGCTCAGTGACTGAGCATTGACCCATGCGCCAAGAGGTTGCCAGTTCGACTCCTTGTCAGGGCACATGCCCAGGTTGTGGGCCAAATCTCCAGTCAGGAGGCATGCTGGAGGCAACTAGTTGATGTTCTTTCATCTATGTTTCTAACTCTCTCTCCCTCTCCATTCCTCTCTCTCTAAAAATCAATAAAGAAAAGAAAGAAAGGAAAAGAAACTGGATGTGTCCTCCAACCTGAGTGTGCCAGGGCAGCTCCTCCATGCCCACTACCCATCTGGACGTGAGAGCGGCACACTGGCACTCAGGAGACCACAGCTGTGTTCCCGTGAAGAGCAATGATCAATCAGAACATACTGAATGACTTCCTTACAGAATGAAACAATATAGATCCCAGTCATGATGATAATCAATATCATTTGGCTACCATTTCCCACATTCACCTTTAAAAGATTCTTGATCTGGCCCTGGATGGTTTGGCTTAATGATTAGAGCGTCGGCCTGCAGACCAGAGAGTCCCGGGTTCGGTTCCTGCCGAGGGCACATACTTTGGTTGCAGTTTGTACTTGGCCCCGGTTGGGGTGGTGTGGGTGGCAACCACTCGATGTCTCTCACATCGATGTTTCTCTCTCTCTCTTCCTCCCACTCTCCCTCCTGCTCTATCTGAAGATAAATGCAAAAAAAAAAAAGTCCTCGGGTGAGGATAAAAAAAAGATTCTTGATCTGGAATTATGCATTTGGCTCAATAAAAAAAAAAAAAAAAGAAAGAAAGAAAGAAATAACAGACTCAAACAGGAATGTAGCTATTTGGGTTTGCCTAGACAGGGTGTGTAAAGAGGAAGAAAATGTGCAGCCTTTCCTTGACATCTGAAGCGAAAGGAAGTCTTGCTGAAACTGAGGGACTGGGCCCACCTTCCACATAGCAGATAGTGGGGGTCTAAGAAGGCAGTCAGGGGACCCCAGAAATGGTGGTGATAGGGGCCAATCCTTCTTCTCCAGGCTACTTAAAGCAAATGTTCCTAAGACAATGCCAGCGGACATGTTTGCCAAAGAGGTTTTTAATAAACTTAAACAATAACAAAACCTAACAAAAATTGAACAACTGGCTCTCTACATTTTAGAAAACAAAGTCAACATTCAAGAGACTGACTTCCAAAACGTACTGGGAACACAGGAGATGCTATTCATTTTGCAATCTGCAGTGTTTGCTTACAAATACTCATTGCATGCTGTAATAATCATGTTCTCAGTCCCACTGAAGACTGTGTTGTCTGAGCCCAGAAGGACTGAAGAGACTTCTAGAACAATTCCCTCACTGCATGAAGATGCGGAGGTTGGGTACTGCTCACAGCACACAGGCCTAAGTGGCAGAATTGGGTCTGGAACCCTGTCTCCAGCTCTGGCCCAGGGTTCCTTCCGCTCCAGCCCACTGGCTCATCTCAGCATAGCTCAGTGCCCAAACTGCATTTCCGATCTGTCCTCTGTAGTTTATCAGCAGGTCAGTTTTATGTTTTAAATTGTTAAAAGTAACAATTGGTTAGAGCGTCGGCCTGTGGACCAGAGTCCCGGGTTCGGTTCCGCTAAGGGCACATACCAATAATAATAATAATAATAATAATAATAATAATATCCTTTCAGGACTAAAATGGCATTCCTGCCTTTCTATTTGTAACTAAAATTGGGGGGAAATAATAATCATTCAAGGGGGGAAAAACCTGAGAAGGTGAAGAAAATGTTTAGAGTGTATTTTACATTAATAATAAAAGTTTACTTCAAAATAAAAGAAAACATGAGTAACTCAATGTTACCCTTGAAGACTGCCTAAAATCCTACCCTGTCTTCCAATTTGGGGGGGTCAGTAGATGTTCCCATACCTTCCAAGGTCTCTGGTCCACTGGGGGCTGACCTTTGCCTGGCCCTCATGACCCTGATGTTGCCTCTGCAGGGCACTACATGAAATTCAGCTTCTCCTTCAGTGTTTCAGAACTGATCCCCACAACAAACAAACAAAAAACCCCACCCAATGGGTTTAACAGCTTTTTTTCCAGGTTTACAGGGATTTCCCAAGTACTGCCCACATCTCTCTTCACTTCCCCACCCATCTCTGCTCCCTCTGGCCCCCTCCTGTCTCCCCTCCAGAGAGCCTAGCCTCCCCTCCGCTGGGCAGAGCAAACCCAGCCCCTAGTGACATGCTGGCTTGGAGTGGGTAGGGGCTGCCCCTTACCCCACGCACTCATTATAGTGTTTCCCAAACACAAACTTTCAGACTTGGAGTTGGGGTCTTTTAATGCCTCCCCGCAGTGGCACAGCTTGTAGAGATGGTTAATACTCACCCCAGGGATCTGGGGACAAAATTCAAGTGGCCTGTAAGTATTTTAAAGTGTTTTTATCTTAATATGCATGTTGGTCATGTGTTCTACTCTAAAATTTTGCTCTACAACGCATTTCTCTAAAACGAGAGAGTGTTCACACTGGGGCTTCACCTCTCTCCACGCGGGCTCCCTGAGGAGGGGCTGCTGGGACTCGTGGGGGCGGGGTCTCTAAAGGCTGCACTGGGAACCGGAAGACTAAGAGGATTATTTCAGAAAGCCTGGGGGACTGAGAATTCATGTGAGGTAAGGCTGTGGAGGCTGACAACTTTGCTTTGGGCTGGCAACATCAACACCGGTTGTCTCATGGGGAAACTGATTATTTGATTAATAGATATAGTTTCCCAGATAAAACTTTAACACAGAGAGAAAAAGAACTTAAGAGGTCTTGGTTTTGAGAAAACTGGGCATCATTATTTCAAATTTTAAAGTAAATTGAAGCATTGATTTCACTTCTTTAACCAGATCTGGATCAATCCCAAATGTTAATGAACAATTCATCCTGGTTTTAAACCCACATTCTATCATTCCATTCTTGGGCAATTTGCATAGTTTCCTGTAGCAAAACCAAGATAAAAGCAGAGCTGGATTGTCCCCTTGTTTGACAAGAATCTCAAGGTAATTGCCTTAAGCTTCCGCTTAACTTTGCTGATGGAAACAGGAGGCTGGCTTTCTAAGAGCTCCCGGAATGTCATTAAGATGAAATCATTTTGTCCTTTTATCTAGTTCTGTTTGTTTTAATGTCTGATAGAAGCAGTTTGATTTAAAAAAAATTTTTTTTTGTGTGTGTGCTAATCCTCACCCAAGGATATTTTTTTCCCATTGATTTTTAGAGAGAGTGGAAGGAAGGCAGGGAGGGAGGGAAGGGAGAGAGAGAGAGAGAGAGGGAGAGAGAGAGAGAGAGAGAAACATTGATTGGTTGCCTCCCACACAGACCAGGGCTGGGAATTGAATCTGACAATTTCAGCTTTATCCTGTATTTATTTGGAATTACTGAGTCACTGCCAAGTCCCTCACTTCTCATTGTGGAGCCTGAGAAAGAAGGTAACTACCAAGAAGGACTCCTGGTGGCTAACTGGGCTCCACTTTAAAAACAGAGTCTAGCAGCCATTACTAAACAGCAACACAAACCACACTTCAGAGAGAAGCCTGCACGAACGGCCTGCCTCCCAGACTGAACTGCCCATCTGCACCGTACTCCTGCCGTCTGAGCCAGCCCTCAGGATGGAGTTCCTGGAATTGTATTTCAACCAATAGGACTGAGGCTTTCCCTGTCCTACTGGAGCTGCACAGCTATATCCCCATCAGCATCTTCACCAAGTAATCAGAGCAACTCCATTTTGACCAATCAGGACAGCGCCTTTTGGACCAGTCAAACTAGGAGGATTTGGAGTCTTCATTTGCATGAGTATGAACCAATCAGGGAAGAGGGTCCAGGACTCCTCTCTACAGAGGAGTGGCTCAGAGAGAGCACTTTTCCATTCTTCCAAAGACAGAGATTGTGTTTCCTGGGCTGGAGCTGAAACACCAAAGTCTCACTGAACCAGAGCAGAATGGAGCAGAGCAGAGCAAAGCAGACCAGACCAGACCAGACCAGACCAGACTGGTACAGAGCAGGCTGGTGTGGAACAGAGCAGAGCAGAGCAGGTGGAGCAGACCCAAGCAGAGCAGGGCTGCCTGGCCCTCAGGCCACCTTACGCAGGGCCACCTCCCCCAACTGTACTGTCTCACAGCTGTGCTGCTTCATCACTGAGCTGTAACAGTATTGAGCTGTTCTCCCAGCTCTGCCGCATCACAGTGGAGCTTTTTACACTGAATAATGTGTCCTTCTTCACAATACCCCCATTTGGGGATTCCTGTTGGCATTGAATTTGCACCAACAACCATTAGTTGACACAACAAAAGTGAGTTCAATATCTTCATAAGTGTTTATTGAGTGCCCCTGTGTGTTGGGCACTGTGCTATACAAAAGACAGAAATAGTCTCTGTTCTTCAGCAGAATGAAGCTTTTACCTCCCTTTAAAAACCCCACAGCCAGGTAAACCATATTGCATCCCCATCTCCAAATATGCGACATGCTTGCTTACCCTGAACCTCTCTTCGTGACTTCCTCTATTCCCAGAAGTCTTCTCCCCACTTCACTTTGCTTTGGACTATGCCAGATGGCTTCTCCTCCACAAGCCTTTTTATATTATGACTAGTAAGCTAAAGAAAAGATGTTTGACATCATTCGTCATTAAGGAAATGCAAATAAAATGACAGTGAGTTGAATGGTGGCCTCGAAAAGTATGTGCACACCCTGGAACCTATGAAAGTGACCTTATTTGAGAAAAAGGTCATTGCAGATGTTATTAATTTACGGACCTTGAGATAAGATCATCCTGGATTACCCAGATGGGCCTGAATCAATAAAGAGTCCTTTTAAGTGACGAGAGAGAGAGAAGAAACAGCGAATCGGAGGAGAAAGCCACGTGAAGACTGAAGGAGAGAATGGAGTTATGTAGTCACAAGACACAACCCCTGGAGCCACCACAAGCTGGAAGAAGCAAGGAAAGATTCTTCTCAAGAGTTCTGGAGGGAGCACGGCCCTATCTCTTGAGTTTGGATTCTGGTATCCAGAATAGTTTTCTGTTCTCTTAAGCCCTTAAAATTGTGGTAATTTGTTATAGCAGCCCAGAAAACTAATATTCCACTCCTTGATATACCCAAGAAATATGTCCAGCCACAACATGTGCACGGAAGTTCATAACAGTATTCATTATTCATAATAGCCCCCAAGTACAAACAAACACAAATGTCCATCAATGGATGGATGAATACATAAACAAAATGTTGAACATCCGTACAATGGAATATTATTCAGTCATAAAAAGAAATGAAGTACTGATATATGCTACAAGCTGAATGAGCCTGGAAATCATGCTAAATGAAAAAAGCTAGTCACCAAAGACCATGCGTCCTGTGATTCCATTTATATAAAATGCCCAGAATAGGCAAATCTATAGCAACAGAAAGCAGATTGTAGTTGCCTAGGGTAGGGGTGGAGTGGGTGGGGGATGAGGACAGTGAGTGGGCTAGGGATGGGTGGTGAATCGTTTATTCATTATGAACAGTGAATATTTAGAATGATAATTATTTTAGATCTATTCTACCATAATCTAGACAGCTGTATTGTTAACCTTTGTCTTTGATGACATGTTTTAAGAAACGTGTCCCTGGTCACAGTTTTATTTTTTATTTATTTATTTTTTTTTATCCTCACCCGAGAATATTTTTCCATTTTTTGTACAGATAGAGTGGGAGGGAGAGAGAGGAAGGGAGAGAGAGAGAAACATCGATGTGAAGGGACACATCGAGTGGCTGCCACCCGCACGACCAACCAGGGCCGGGGACAAACTGCAACCAAAGTACGTGCCCTTAGCGGGAACCGAACCCAGGTCTCTCTGGACCACAGGTCAACGCTCTAACCGCTGAGCCAAACTGGCCAGGGCCCTGGTCACAGTTTTAAACCCTAACTGTTTTCTTGAGAGGAAACACTTGGCACCTACCAGGTCCCTCTCCTGACCACTCCAGGGAGCAAGGACTCACGGACTGCGTCTCTGCTCATCAGGGGCTGTTTGTAAACCTAACCTCACTTCCTGAGAAGCTTTACCACTTGTCAGTTTCTTTCAGTGATTCCTCCCTCTGAGCATCTAACACAACAGTCAGAATTCTATCTTAAAGTGATCCACACTTTAAGACGTGGCTTTTAAGAATGAATTACATTTAAAAGTAGAGACTCATGTGGTGGCTGGGGACAGGGCCAGAGGGTGACATCGCATACAAAGCCAGTGTTTCAGAGGCCCACATGAGGAGAACCCCCTCTGCCCGCTCGGACACATGACCAGAGGCCCGTTTGGCTCGGTTCTAAGGTCCAGTTGGAGTAATTCTGATGTCCTGCTCAGTGTGCCTTGAGGGGAATGGACTGAGCTCAGTGAGGTTTGTAGAGCTGATTTAAATGTTCAGATCCCTTTTGGCATGGGAGCTAGGAATGCTCCCATAAGCCACTCCAGTCTGAACATTCAGGTCAATGGAAGGGACCCAGCAAGGACTGGCCCTTGGTGTGGCTCTGTGGTCTGCTGTCACTATGGGCTTCAGCTCCCCCTCCCAAAGCCTGTTCAGTGGAGCAGGCCCCTGTCACTCCAGGTCTCTCCACAATCTCTTTGGCCAGAATGACTGATTTAGGAACGCATGTCTGACCTGGGCAACTAAAGGGAACCCTCACTGGGGCCTCTTAGGAAAGGACCTGGCTTTGCCTGGCGGTGTAGGCATGGATCGGGAGTGCGCTGGACTGGAGGGAGGCAGCCCGAGTCCGTCTGTCTCCACCCCTTAGTAGCTCTGTGTTTTTGAGGCAACTATTTAACCTTTTGGAATCTCGGTTTCTGCATCTACATAATTAGAATGACATCACGTCCACAGAGCTAGTATATGGACTGAACTGAACTGTGTGAACACGAAGTAGAGCTCCCTGCCTCTAAGAGTCACTCAGCAATGACACCTCTATGTACCAACTGTGGGGAGGAGGCTCTGGCACAGGGGAAGCAACTGTCCAAGGACAGTGGTGCAGCTTTAAAATTTCTCACCCCTGAACTACCTTTCTGGCTCAGGTTATACTTGCACTTCCGCTGCTCTTCAGATGAGTGAGGAATACAAATGCAGACAATTTACGTCTCTCATCATTACAATTAGTTATTCTACCTGCAGAGTACCTACCAGAATCTGCTGGTGTTGCTTTTCTACTTGATAACCTCCAAAATGCAGTATGCTGGGCTTTGCTTGTATGACCTTATTATTCAGAAGTTTTACATAAACCTCTATAAAAAAATGTAGATAAGTATATCATGAGATGAGACATAAAAGAAAACATTAAATGAAAGAACATCCTATTAGCTGGGGTGCCAGGCCACGGCCAGGGCCAAGAGGTCTGTCCCCAGAGCCATGTAGCCACTGACACGCCACCCTCATCCCAGCAGCTCCTGGCACATCTCGCTGAGGCTCCCCAGCGCCGGTTCTTCAGTATTTACGGCACTCTGCCTCCCGCCACAGGTTGTTTCCATTTTTGTGTTACTCATTTGTCTCTGTTTTGTCAGCTCTGGGTCTGAAGTTTTGTTTTTCTTTAACTTGTTTTTCTTTATTGATTTTAGAGAGAGAGGAAGGGAGAGAAAAAGAGAGATAGAAACATGGATGAGAAAGAACATCAATTGACCGCCTCCTGCATGCCCCCCACTGGGGATCAGGCCCACAACCTGGGCATGTGCCCTGACTGGGAACTGAACTGGTGCCCTCTTGGTGCAGGGTCGATGCTCAACCACTGAGCCACACTGGCCAGGCTGGGTCTGAAGTTTTGTGTTGTTTTATTTTAAACTGGTTTGTGTTCATATTTGGGGGGGAGGGGGGATACTTAATAAATTTATTGCTGTCAGATAAAAAAAGAAGATCCTATTAATGTGGGTGCTTTTAAATTTAGGATATTTTAAGCATATGAAAGGTTCAGATAGAGGATACAGCTGTCAAAAAGATTAATGATCTGTTCCAGATAAACTGCAGGATCTCTCCTATTTTTACACATTGGAAGATATTATCATCGCAATACAAATTCATGTGTATTGTCTACTACCTGTTAAGATAATTTGCTCTTTACATTTTGTACATGTCTCTGCAGTAAAACACAAGCTCACGGAGCCCACACACCTGTCTGCTCTTCGCAACACTGCTTCTTATTATGGAACGAACACCAGGTTCAAAGGAACGAAGTACTGTTTAATTGTACTTCTGCGTATTGAACTGTTATTATTCGATTTCCTCTAAATAGAACTACAATGCGATATAGAGTAGTCTTTTAAAAATAGATATTATGTAATATCTATTATTTGATATGGAGTAATCTTAAAGCTCTGAATAAATATCGCTCTGGACAGTAAAGTCCCAAACTGTTATTGCAATATAAACGTCTTCTTTTTTTCCAGTTTTGAGAACAAGGTTAAAACAGCTGAGCTCACAGAAGTGCCCAGGTCTCCAGCACTTTTCTCGGCTCTTCAGCAGGCACGATTGAGACATGTGGAGAAGGCACTGGGAACCCGCTACCCAATTGTTCCTGTGCCTCCAGTGCCTGTACCCTCACCCCCATCCTCTGAGGTGGGTATTATCACCATTCTGTAGATAGGAGAGCTGAGTGAGACTCAACAGGTTAAGCAACTTGCCCACAGCCCAGGTCTGTGTTATTCCAACCAGTAGACTGCTTCCCTCGGTATGAATGCACTGCCCAGTTTCTAATAAATGGACACCTTTCAGCTTTGGTTACATCCCAGTCCTGTGAGCCACAGAGAGCCTTACCCACCCCTTAGCCCACTGTGAGTCTATGTACATCTGAAGTGGTGTTTCTGCTCCTCTCCAGGTGATCTCTGGGCCACACTGAAGGGCTGGGATGGCTTAGGATGGTGTTTCAGGGGGACTAGTGATCTCTGTAGGTCATCTGGTAATTTTTTAAGTATTGAAATTAACATTATTTGATAATTTTTTTTAATGCTGAAGATTTTGTTTTTAGGGTGACAAAATATATGTAAATGAGCATTTTTCTCTTAATGCCCAGAAATAGTGAAATATATCAATTTGCACTCAACAAGTTCTATAACGACAAAAGAGCCATGCCAAATACCACATTTCTAGTATTTGCAACGGGCCCTGAAAGACAAGGGGCAGCAGCCTAGTGTGATGGGAGAGAGCTGCTCATGGGGCTGCAACAGCTGAGCACTAACTCTCCACCTAGTTGAGCCACTTTGGGGAACCCATCTGACCTCTCTGAGTCTCAGTTTCCCCAACAGTGAAATGGAAATAGAATATTTATGCCATGCAGATTCAGTGAAAATAATATAGGCAAAATTCTTAGCCTTTTATATACTAGCTATAGGGTTGATCAGGCTTTCCAGGCTAACCGATGTGCATGGAAAAAGGCAAGAAGGTACAACATGTACAAAATGCCCGAGGTGTTGAAGGAACAGGAGTACCATGGAGGGGCCAGAGCTGGGGATGCCAGCCAGATTCTACAAAGGAAACTGACTAGGGTGTGAAGGTGGTCTGGAGGAGAGGGTGGCCAGGGAGGGAAGCACTACTGCAGCTCTGGGCTCAGCATGAGGAACAAGGCAGTGGGGACAGATAGGAAAGATATTTGAGGAAGTGGAAGCAACAGAACTTGGTGACTAATTCACACATCAAAAATCTATCAGTTAAGTGGATCTAAATAGAACCATTCTTTGTTCTTAATAAAAACTATTATGAGCCTATAAAATGATAGAGACAAATCAGCACCAAAAATTCCACTATGCTTTCTGGACTTCAGAGTCTCTGGGAAGTTGTGAGTGGCAAAGCAAATCTGTTTCTCGCCACTTACTTGATTCTAGGAGGTGATTAGGCGCTTTTCTTCTTTTCTTGGGCTCCTCCACTAGGCTCTTCAAAAGGAGGGGCGATACGTTATTAAATGGTTCCTCAGCATTCTTTAGTTCTCTGCTGGGGGTTTTCACTGCTGCCATTTTATCTTGAAAAATGGAATGTTCTCTTTAAAGCCAAAGGTCATTTTCTGGGAAGAAAACAGTAGCAGCATAATCATCCATGAGAAACCACACACATATTTTTTCAATCCTTGACAAATAGACCTCTCGTCACTGTGTGGTTTACTGTGGTTGAGGCCCTCCCTGCCTCTGGTCTCTCTGCTGGCCACTCAATTCCCACGCATGCTGTCCCATCAATCTCCTTGCGTCACACGTCACATCCATTATCGTGCCATTGCTCAAAACCCTTTCGTGGTCCTAATTCTCAAGAGCTTTTCCTAAAATGCAGTCCTGACATGCTTCTTGAGCTATTAGTAGAGGCATGGGGAGGAAAAAATAAAGGCTCTTGCAGTGGAATACATTTGGAAAATGTTGAAGTAAACAATTAAACAGGCTTTTTCTGAGATTTCTCCAAATTGGTTTCTCAGATGTGACCATGAAAACCTTTAACATTTGGAGACACTATATAGGACACTGGCATTTATGAGCCACCTTCCTGAGCCCCTGTCTGGGGACAATGAGGAGGTGCAGACACCATCGGCCTCCTCCATCTCCACCTGGTCGTTTCTGAAAGGTCTGAGCTCCTATGTCCCAGTCTGCACCATACCCTTTGTCAGACTTGCCTTCATTTCCACAGTCAAGTTCCACCTTCTTGGTGATGTCCACACTGACCCCAACTCTTTCACATTCCTTAGCAATTACTGCCTCTACTACTCATTTGGCATTAACAACTTAGTGCCCTGTAGTGGCACCTTACTAATCCCACATATCTTTATATTTTCCCCAGCGAAGTGTCTCTACTTGAGGCCCTTGTACGGACCGGGGGCTGCTCTGTGAAGCCCCTGAAATTGAACGTAAAACCATGAGTAGACCTTTATGTGCTTTTTTGTTTGTTTGGGTTTTTTGTTAGTTTTTGAGAAGGTTCATAGCTTTAGATCCCCCTAAAGTCTCCTGCATTGAGCAAAATGTAGTTGACTACACGGAAGAAGGTGCTTACTAACCACTTTCTAAAAGAAAGTTCTCCTTTCCCCTCACGTCCCATCCCTCTCCCTAGCATTGCAGACGTCCCCCAGCTCAGCGCAGCCCCCACCTCACCCGCTCCGTTCCCCTCCATCCCTACGCCTTCCCCAGGTTCACTGTCCGGACCTTTCTCCACGGGTCCTCAGATTCTCTGCCCTTCTTTAAGCAGGTACAGGAGCGAAACCGTGCTCCATTTCACTCACCGCCAGGGTGACCCTGTTTCGCTTTTCACACCCCACATCCTGGGTCCCCCTCGCCCCGCCCCCTATCGGGCAGGCCCGCTCATCCTTGCCTAACGCCTGCCGCTTCAGCGCCGCTGTACCCCATCCCCTGCTAGGGGTGGGGTGGACCCTAGACCCACGCACCGCCCGCACCCCCATGGGTCCTTTCGGCCGGACCTCTCCTGCGACCCCAGCCCAGGCTGGCTTGCCGCGGCGTGGCAGCGGCTCAGGGGCCACCCCAGCCCCGGGTCCCAGGGCGCTCACACGGGAGGAGGTCCCCGGGAGGCTTCCGCGAGCGCCGGCCGCAGCGCACCGCGTCGTCATGACGACGCAGACGCGCTCGGAGGTTGGCGGCAGGGCCCGACCAAATCCCCCAGGAGTGTGGGGAGAGCCGCGCCGTCGCAGCGCGAGGTCCGGAGGCCGTGGGTGTCTTTTGGGGACCCTGAGAAGTCTGTGGGGCCTGGGGAGAACAGCGAGGGCGACTCAGGAGGTGCGAGGCCAACGGATTCCCGAGGGGAAATGAGAAAGTCGGGAAGGCTATGAACTGGGAACCTGGAAGAGCAGATCGCGGAGCGGGGCGACCGAGAGGGGCGGGGCGGGTTACAGGGGCGGGGCCTCCCAAGCGCAGTGGGTGGAGCTTCCCTGACTCGTTCACAGACGCCCTACTTTATTTTTTTTAAATATGTTTTTTATTTTAGAGAGAGAAGTGGGAGGGAGAAGGAGAGAGATAGAAACATCAATCTATGGACGGACTGCTGAGGATCGAGTCCGCAACCTGGACATGTGCTCTGCCGGAATCAAACTGGTGACTTCCTGGCGCACGGGAGGACCACTCTTAGCCAAGGGAGCCACACCAGCAGGGCTGGGCGCCCTACTTTAATATCGTTTGTTTTGCGTTTTCTATCATGATAAATTTTAAATATATACAAAGGTAGGAAGAATAGTATGATGAACCCAACACTCGCCTGCAACAATGATCAAATCATGGCCAATCTTACTTTGTACATTTCCTCTACTCCCTGCATTATTTCAAGAAAATCCCATACATCATTCCACCCATAAATATTTCAGGATACAAATCCAAAAGATAAGAACACTTTTTAAAAACAATCACCCGAAAAATGACAATATTTTTAACATCTGCAAATATCCTGTATTCAATTGTCTCATAAATGTCATAAAAAATTTTTTTTAGAGTTTGCTGGTTTGAATCAGAATTCAAATAAAATCTACACATTGCAAAATTTTTTTTATTAATTTTTAGAGAGAGAGGAAAGGAGAGGGAGAGAGAGATGGAAACATCGATGAGAGAGAACATCCTTTGGCTGCCTCCAGCATATCCCCCACTGGGGATTCTACCCACAACCTGATCAAGTGCCCTGACCCGGAATCAAACAGAGACCTCTTGGTGCATAGGTCAACACTCAACCACTGAGCCACACCAGGCAGGCTAGATTGATATGTCTTTTAAGTCTCTTTTAATCAATGGGTTCTCCCTTCGTATCATTTTTTTGTTGTTGCAATTTATTTACTAAAGAAACTGTTTCTGTCCTTGATACCAATATTTAGGGGTTATAAACCATAAAACTGGGTCTGCTCCCCTAACCTCCTTCCCTGTCTATTACACCCTGCTCACCCAAGGACATTTTTTCTTGCACAGACACTCAGACTTCTCTCTTCCCAGGAGCTGCCCTTATCTCGCTCCCTCCATCTATAACTTGACACTTGTTTGATGTTATTTATGGCTTTGTACTGATAAGACATTATAGGAGTAATTCAATGAGGATACCTGCCTTTCTCATACTCACATCACTGGTGCTCTTTGTGGCTTTGTTTTTTTACACCCTCTCCCACTGAGAATGTTTATTTTTTTCCATTTTCCTATTCTCCAATCCCTCCTGGCCACCATCAACACTGATTAAAAATCTCCCCAACTTTCAAGGCTAACACTAGAGATGGTATATCTTCTACCCTTCCCATAACCCTACAGGTCAGAAGAGCTGTTTCCCTATTTTGGTCTTCCGTACACTTTGTTATGGCATCTTTTTTGACATCTATCTTTTTACATGCTGTACCCATCATTATTTGTGTATGTGTCTTAGACTGCTTAATTCTTATGGGTAGGGGACTGTACTTTATCTTTGGGTCTCCCACATAGTTGACACAGTTCTTTGTTCATAGTGATAACCCAGTAACTGTCCACCAAGTGGGTACAAAAGTCATTTGCTTCTATAGTAGGTTACTTCAGTTCTTTCTGTTTTGTTGCCCCAACAAAGTTCTAGATTTCAGAACAAGTACTATGTTTCCAATAGTCCCAGAATTTTCCACCCGGCTCATAATCAAATGCTGGTTTCCATACATTTTTTAAATGGGTATTGGATAACATCTTCTAATTTGTATTTCATTTTTTTCTAGAAAAATTGCCAACTTCTCTACTTTATACATAGATATGATATAATATGTGAGTCTGTATAATAAATTAACCACATTGGGTATTATAGTATAGAGGACCCTACTGGTTGCCTACTTCTACTTTCTTACCAACAGAGCCTCAGCTTTGCTTAGGTTTCTTCCCACATCCCCAGTTCCAGCGGTAGATACTGATTACTCTAGGCCAGTCATTGAATTCCTAATCCTTTTGCCCACGGATGATTTATAGTTGAGTATGTAACCCAATTCTGGACACAGACATTAGGGGAAGGCTTCTGGGGACTTCTGGAAAAGGTTTCCTCTCTCTGAAGAAAGAGACATACATAGATACAGTATCTGTCTGTTTCTGGACCTTGTAGTGTCCAGAGTGATTCCTTGGAATTTCAGCAGCCATCAGAGGCCATGAGAGGCCCTAGCCTTATGGTGAAGCTGATGAGGACAGCAGGAGACAGGAAGAAGACTCTGGACCTGTGTGATATCATTTCGCCTTTGATTGTTTGGTTCTTGCATCCCATATCTTTCCTTCAGCTGAAAAAAGTTGACATACAATGACTTCTAAACACTTACTACTCAAAGTGTGAACTGCAGCGCAGGGGCCTGTTAGAAATACAGAATTCCAGGTCATCCCAGGCCTAACGAATCAGATTCTGCATGTTAAGAAGATCCCCAGGAGATTTCATAGACATGCTAAAATTTGGGAATCACTGAACTGATGCCCCACAATTACAGTTGTTTCAGATAATCAATTGTTTAATGAATTCGTTTATGTATTTCACATTCATTTTGCTTAGTGTTGGCAATGAGCAGAATATAAGGCTATCTCAGCGTCCTGCAAACTGAAGCAATGAGATGGGTGTGATGTCAGGCACAGAAGCTGCAAGCTCTACACTTCGGTAGCATGGAGAGAGCAATGAATCTTCTTGCTTAAAAGCCCTCGGTGGCTTCACACTGTACAGAAAATAAAATTCTACAATTCTTAACACAAGTTTCAAAGCTCTGCAGGACCCAACTGCTGGCCCCTCTTTCCAGCTTCTCCTCACCTTACTCCATGGTGCTCCTCCCACACCCCCACTGCCTGGGGAGGTGGGTTAAAGCTGGCTCAACATTCTTGGGCACTCCCCCGATGGACAGGAGGGTTCCTATGCCCTCGCCTTGAACCTAGATGGGTCTATGACTGCTTTAACTTCCCAGGCCAGCCCTGCCTGATTTCTGACCCCCAAATTAGTAAGAAATCATAAAATGGGTGTTGTTTCAATCCTGTAAGTTTGAGGATAGATGTAGTTGCAGCAATAAATAACCCAAAACATGGCTAATTCCTACATAACCTAAGAATCTCTTCTTCAAAGGGGCTTTTTTTCTGGCTT